TGTCGTGTCCCTCGTTCCAATATAAATGATTCGGTGAGGTCCCCATTGATTTTGATTTTAGCTGTTGGTTTGTTGTATAACTCTGAGATAATATCAATTATAGATTTATCAAAATTAAACTTCTCAAGCACTTTATATAAAAAGGACCATCTCACTGAGTCAAACGCCTTCTCGGCACCTAAGCTTAATACTAAGGTCTCTAATTTTTGTTTGTCAACTTGCCGCAATATGTGCAAAACCTTTCTGATGTTGTCCTGGGCCTGTCTGTGTTTAATGAAACCCGTTTGGTCATTATGTATTAACCTAGGTAATATCATTTCTAGTCTCTTAGAGATAATAGATGTAAACAACTTGTAGTCAATATTCAATACACTGATTGGGCGATAGTTGCTACATTCTAATTTATCTTTTCCTTCTTTTGGTATAATGGAAATTATTGCTTCCCTCCATGAAGGAGGGATAATTTTCTTTTCCTTTACCCAATTAAATGTCTTTATCATGGTGGGGATCAAATGATCCTGCATTATTTGATACCATTCTGGGCCAAACCCATCTGGCCCCGCCATTTTCCCTCCCTTTAGTCTTTTAATTGCCAAGTAGATTTCTTCTTTAGTTATTGTGGACAACAGCATTTTATTTTGTTCCTCTGTCACACCTTGCAACTTTAGACCTGACAAGAAAATATTGACAATAGAGTTGTTATCTACAAAAGTTTGGGAGTAAAGTTTTCTGTAGTAATTCTGGAAGCATAGTTTAATTTCCCCCAGTTCAGTTTCTATTTGTCCATTAAGAGGATTCTTTATTCTATGTATAGTCCTCTCTGCTTGTTGCTTCCTAAGTTTAAGAGACAGAAGTCTTAGTGATTTCCTCCTTACCTCGCATTGCTGTTGCTTAATAAAAACGATTTTCTTTTGTATATCCATCGTATTTAGATCATCTATTTTTTTCTTAAGTTTTATTATGTCAGATTTGATATCATCATCCAGCGTCACAGAATGTAGATGTTGTAGCTCTAACAATTTGTCTTCTAATTGACAACGGTTTTCCCACCTAGATTTTTTCAGGTAAGAGGATATACTAATTATTTTTCCTCTAATTACTGCCTTCAATGCATCTCATAATATTTCTGGAGATACCTCCTCATTTTCATTATACTCTAAATAAGTTTCTATTTCCTCTTTCAAACTCTCTTTAATATTTGGCTCATTTAAAATGTTTGTATTCAGCCTCCATAAGGTTGATCTATTTTTGCTATTCAGGCAGATCTCAAGATAATTATTGGTATTTTAAAACATTAACTCCCTAAAGTGACTAAAAGTGTTCATTTCCTCTGCATGGCTGCTGCATACTTGTGACTGTGTGGCTGTGAGAAAAAAGTGTTGATTTATTATGTTTCTAATGGCACACAGTCAAACCACACAGAAACAGATACAGATGGAGGGAACACCTGCAATAAAGGTCATTGTTTCAGTGTGTTGCAACTTCAAGTTTACTACTCACATTCTCCACATGCTTTACTGTTTCGAGGGACAAATGCTCTTCTTCTGTATTTTCACCCTGAATAATCAGTTCAGTGTTCTCGGGAATGGAAGCTAATCTTTATTTTGTAGATCTCCCTCTCAAAATAACTGCATGGGTGCTTTCTTTATCTGGTCGGGCTGAAGTTAAATATCAACTCTCAGCAAGGCTGCTTGCAGCATTAGGGGAGAGGAGAACAGATGAAGCGATATGAGAGATAGGAGAGAAAGCTGGAAGAAAAGACTGGGAGAAGATATAATATAATAGCATAATGTGATGCAGTTCTAAGTTGAAATATGGCACACATGGCAAAAATGGCAAAAAAACGCTTCACATATGTGAGAAATGGCTTCACGAAAGCAAGTGGAATGCCAAAACCTGACATTTGAAGGCATCGTGTTTCTGTTTTAAAGGCCAGTTCATTATCAATCAGTTTATTTAAGACAAAAATGTTTACGTGCAAGGTTGCAAAAAAAAAATTGTACTGTAAAAATGGTATTGTTTACTTGGGTGAAAATGCATAAATGATGGTCGGTTAAGGATTCATGGTTACCTCTGTTTGAGCACAGGAACAATAAAGTACAAACACAACCAGCTTTCTGTTCGCACTGGAAAGAGGAAATATCTCTAGAGAGTTTCGGCCCAGACGGGAGAGGAGGAGAGGGAGTCTCCCAGTTATGCAGGACACTGACTGAAACAGAAAGAGAGAGACAAAGAGGAACTGCAAACAGTTTCCCGTTGCCACAGCAACAACTTTCACCTGTGTTTCGGAGGAGGGAGATAGAAAGGATTCCCTGATATTCTTTCTATCTCTATTTCTGTGTTTCTCAGCTCAGACTTGGTATTCCCTGTTGGCAGCAAGCCACACAGAAACCATTTAGGCTGGGAATCCATGGTCAGAGAAACTGCTTTCATAAGCGCAGCAAAGAGGTGATGCAATTTCCCTAACTAACAAGGGTTAAAAGGCAAATTGGATCTTGGTGTTCATACTGAAAATAAAATAGAAAAATAAAGAAGTCTATTTACATTTATGTATCTGCCTACCTATCTGCATATCAGCCACTTTGGACTTTACCTTTCACTTTTGCTCCAGTTGTTATTCCAGCCTGTGGTACTTCATCTATCACAACTAATGTCTTCTGCTTCTTGGCCAGGACCTCCTTGTCAGTCTTAAATTCAAAGTCCCACAGGACAGGACTGCTGTCCTCATCCCATCGGGACTTGAAAGACTTCTAGTCTTAGCCTCACAAATCTTCCCGTATACTATCCCAGCCACTTGAGTGTCCCAGCTTGCATCTTGCATCCTGCTGATATGTGCTGGACGGGGCACCTGCGCACAGTCATGAGTGCAAAAATTGCAGGCCCTAATTGCCTCAGTTAAGGTAAGTGTTCATGACTCCACCATGAGAAAGAGACTGGGCTAAAATGACCCCAGTTCCAAGACGATTAACCACTGCTGAGCAAAAGGAACACAAAGGTTCATCTCAGTTTTGCTAGAAAACATCTTGATCACTCCCAAGAAAATACCCTGGAAAAATATTCTGACGATACAAGGTTGAACTATTTGGACGGTTTAAGTCCTGTTGCATCTGGCGTAAAAGTAACACAGCATTTCAGAAAAGGAACATTACACCAACATCAAAATGTGGTAGTGGTAGTGTGATGTTCTGGGGCTGTTTTGCTGCCTTAGGACCTGCAAGACTTGTTTTTGTAACTGGAACCATGAATTCTGCTGTCTACCAAAACATCCTGAAGGAGAATGTCCAGACATCTGTTTGTGACCTCAAGCTGAAGCGCATTTGGGTTCTGCAGCAGGACAGCGATCCAAAACACACCAGCAAGTCCACCTCTGAATAGCTTAAGAAAAACAAAATGAAGACTTTGGAGTGGCCTAGTGAAAGTCCTGACTTAAATCCGACAGGGATGCTGTGCCATGACCTTAAAACGGTGGTCCATGCTCGAAAACCCTCCAATGTTGCTACAACAATTCTGCAAAGAAGAATGGGCCAAAATTCCTCCACAGTACTGTAAAAGACTCGAAGTGAGCTATTGCAAATGCTTGATTGCAGTTGTTGCTGCTAAGGGTGGTCCAACCAGTTATTAGGGTTAGGGGCCAATCACTTCTTTTTAAAGGGTGATGGTTAGAATTTTTTGCCCCCTTAATAACAAACACTTTCAGCTGGAAACTGCATTTTATGTTTACCTCTTATCTTTTTCTAATATTTAAATTTGTTTGATGATCTGAAACATCTTCAAACTGGGTTCAATTTATTTCAACTTCAATAATAATGAAATAATAATAAAACTATAACATTATAACACATTGAGCCTTACTGACAGACTCCAGAGACAAAGTACAATGCAGGGACAAGCAAATGTACCCGGAAAGAACACATGAGAGTGCCTCGGTGGATGAAACTGAATGAAGCTGGCGCAGAGCCAAACTGTTCATTAAATTTGAATTTTCAGCAGCACTAGCGCACGTTTAGAGCAGTAAAATGACGTCAATAGACACCTGAAATGTAATGATTTTTAACTCAGGCTATAATTTAAATCCATGCGGTTGAACTGAACGCTACCGTGCAGCAATCCAGCCACGACGGGTATTAATTGCGCTATTAACTCGTTGAATAAACGTTTCACTACCTCATTCTTCTCCTTTGCACGACAAGCCAGAGCCTAAAAAACAGGACGTCCAAACACTGAAACGTAATTTGGCTCTCTGGCTTAGGGTTGGGCCGCTTTGACAAAGGAATCTTCTTCTTTTTTTTTTTTTTCTTTTTTCTTTTTGTTACTGAGGAGACTGTACGATCCCGTGGGTCGTGTTGCCGTGCAACGACACGCCCCGCCTACCATCCCAATGTATTCACCTGAACCGTGTTCACGTGACAAGCGCAAAGCGCCCAATCCAATCAGGATGGAGGACAGGTGTTTCTTCATCAAAGTTTCGGAGGCGGAAACCTGCTGGTTTAGTGTAAGCCGCTCCTTATTAGTCTGTCACTTCATTTGTTTTCTTTTATCAAGAACTGCTGAGCAGTAGAGCGGAGTTATTTAATAAGAGCAACATAAAAGAAAGAAAAGATTTTGTTCTGGGAAGTGTAAGGAGACAGAGTACTTGGCTCGTGCGTAAGATGGATACGTCTACGAACCTTTGAAGGACTGTTGTCACTGCTGTTCCAGGTGTTGCACCAGTAAAGAAGAGGACACCGAATGCTGTTTATAGATAGCTCGTCACGATTAAAAGCCCGACGCTGACACTTTTATTAGGGTCGTTTTAACTGTCCACACCACCTCTTGCAACACAGGTAGGATAAGTGTTTCTGAGTCCTTTTTCCGTATTGATCGCCTGTGAATCTCGGTTTGGGTTTGCACTTCTACTCTCAGACTCATTAAACCAGTTTTACAGCGACTGTGTGTATGGTTACACTGGTTATTCATAGGATTAGTTGGCAAGACACCTCTCACTCATCTAAAATATATGTAGATAGGCAAACATTTAGGTAAAGTTTAATTTAAGACATTAAAACCGAAATTACACTTGTAGTAATTATGAGAGTGGACATAAGGCTGTAGAACAGCATGAATGCTAAACCATCAATATATATATATATATATATATATATATATATATGATAAAAGTATGACAAGCTGGTCCCTCAAATTGGATTATATTAAAGGACAAATACTGTAAAAGATGATAAGATCTTAAAATCGTAAAAATTATTGATGGGTTGTGTTCCTCTTTACAGGTCACTGCATCCCTTTAGTCAAAGATGACAGAGAGGACCCCATGGTGGAAGGCATTCCTGCCAAAGAAAAAGACCTCCAAGGATCAAGCCTTTGATGTGAACTTTGACCCTTGGGCAAAAGCCTCTCCTGCAGCCTCCAAGGCCTCCCAGCCGGTGTCCAACAACAGCTCCAGCCTGCTCAGCGATGAAACCTTCGACGACTCCCAACTGGACTCGGTCTTCAATGAGCAGACTTGTCGCAGGAACATGAATATATCGCGCTCAGGCCGATTCAAAGAAAAGAAGAAGATCCGTACAACTATTCCAATAGAGCAGAAAGAGAAAGAGAACGTGACGTCTGGGAGAGAGGACGCACGGTGACAGCAAGGAGTAAAAAGCCGGGCGATCAAAGACTGCTTTACAGAGATGCTTGAAGACGGAGGAGAAGGAGAAATCAAGGTCTACGAAGATGTTTCACTCTCATGAAGCATGCCAGGAATTCTGCTGATTTTTCTTTTTTTTTCTTTTTTTATATGTTGGTGATAATGAAGATGATGAGCATTCATGTTTTAGCCCAATACTGGAAAAAAAGGATGATTTTAGACATTTGTTGATGCACTTTGCCAGAAAGCCAAAAAAAAAACCAGTGTCAGCAATATTACACTTAGAAAACCGGAGGTACAGCCTTGAAACAGTCAGCACTTAAGAGGCCAGTGTAATTATTATCCTGTACTATTGCTTTAAAATGCACGAGCCTCGAATGCCCTTTCTCCTTTCAGTGCTCCATATGTGTTTCAGGAAGGAAACATAAAATGTTTACATTTTTTCTGTAATAAGATTAATAGAAAATAATATCTAATAATATAAACCTAATAATGAAGGATATGTGTAACAATAATTTTACAGTGCTTTTTATAAGGGCTATAAGGGTGTTTATGAAGGTGTAAATGGTTCCTTTATGTATGTGTGTGTGTGAAGAAAACAGAGAGAGAGAAAAATGGTTTGTTAGCAGCGCTAGGTCAGATGCACAAAACTTGTCGGCAAAATGCATAAAATACTTCAATGAAGGATTCAAATTGACATATTGCACAAAGCCTTTAGCAAAGCCATCACTGCTGAAATCTCCAGGCAGATGAGATGAGGACAAGGAAGTGATGTTAATTTCTTTTTAAGACTTCTCTGCTCTTAGAAGGCCTTTGAATAGTTTTATATGAAGGCAAAATATGAGAAATAAATCTGACATCTGCTACAGCTGATTGGTGTGTGTCTGTGTGCTTCACGAATCCCCATTTGTTGATGGATTAACCCACGCAGTACAAAGGTTGCTTCTTCGTCCCCATTAAAAACAACTTTAACACGGAAAAGCCCATTAACAACAACAACAACAATAACACCAAATAAGGAAATAAATAAGAAAATCTGAAGATCGAGTAAAGCAAAAAACACCCCACCTAAAAACATGTCAGTACATTTGGCAGCTGTGTTGAGAGTGACAACCTTGTGTGTTCTCATCACAATGTCTAAATAAAGCACTCACATTGAATTACAGCTAATTAAATAAAGCAGGTAGTAGATGTTAAGCCCAGGTGTGAATCACAGGTAGTTAAAAGGAGGAGTATGCCAGTGTCGCGGCATTCTTCTGTCACTGTTTAAGGTGTGTATCTGTGTGTGTGCACAGTGCATGTCAAAGGTTACAATTGATATACCTTTTACAATGACATCACATTTATTGTCGGCTGTCTCATAGCTGCTCTGTATATAAAGTGCAACAGTTAACTGTAATGCCATATCTTCAACACAAGGGGCAATAATGTACCGCCAGTAGACTGTCATACAGCAACAAACTGCAATGAACAGGAGGAAGATATACTTAGAAAAAACAAATTGTAGTTTTGTAGGGGGCAAAGAATTTACTTCAGACGTCTTTACCGCGCAGTCAGAACCCACAGTCGTGGATACACAATGCTTATCTCCTTCCATTGGTGTAACTCAATAAGAGGGAAAGTGTTTTGGCTCCTTCAGCACGGACGAAGCCAACGACACTGATCCTGTTTCTCTCTCTCTCTGTCTCTCTGTGTCGTTGACTGTGGAGCAGTGAGGTGTGGCTTTGCTCTGTGCGCCCCCGGCGCTGCGCTCCCAAGAGAATAAACTGAAAACAGCCAGGGCTGTTGTGCTGCAGTGTCGTCAGCGTCTCCGCTATAAACTCAAAAATTAAGCAAAATAAAGTTTGTGGAACTTTTTAAGATATCTGCAAGAGCACCGCAGAGTTCAGCCGCCGACAACCCAGGCGTGTGATAAGAAGTGTCCTCATTTGACTAAATATAACCTGGAAACTTTCTCACAAGTGTCCCGCTATGAAGAGGGCACTGCGCTAACGGACCACACTGAAGTTCTGTCTGCAAACAGGTGAAGTTCTGACATTTTCTGAAGGTAGGGCGATTTCTTAACGAGTGCACTTTTGCATGTAACGGTTTAATGTTTTTATTCTCACAGAAGTTTGTAATGAAATGTTTAAAAATGCAGGTCCAAATAGAAATGTTTATAGCAGATGAATTGGATTTATTCGAGCTCCCTGCACAGGCATGGAGCATCAAGTGTACCCACCCTTTTTTTTTATGTCCTTTCAGATACATTTTGCATTACAAAAATGTATTGGAAGTTTTATGGGCAATAATGAATGAATAATAATAATAATGAATGAATAACATAAAAACATAAATAAATAAAACATATATGGACATTACTTAAAACCACTGTGTTGTGCTAATCCTGGCTGTTATTCTTGGGATGGGTTTGCAAAATCAGCCATTCTTTGTGAAGACTTATCACAAATTGGTTGGGATTTTTGTAAAGATTATAAAATATGGAAATAAATTACTAGAAAATAAAAAGTGTGATCCATCTTTTTTTGGCTGCAGCAGCAGCTTTCTGGGGAAGATTAAGCTCATACCTGAGGTACAAAGAAAAGCAACAACTGCTGTGAGAGGTGTACTCACCTCACTTACTTCCCCACCTGTTCTGGAAGACCTCAGCTGACCGGTGTCCAGCTTCCCCCCTTTAGAGAGCTAAACTGGCAGTGTCACTGACGCTGCTTGACACAGTTATGAAGATAGAAATAGCAACGGAGGACAGCCTGCCACTTGCAAAGAGGGAAAGCATGAACTGCACACAGACAGAAAACCAGTAGCGTGATTCAGATCTGTTACTTCCATTACAAAAACATATTCAAGTAAAGGTATTTGCTAGCCATAAAATTACTTAATTAAAAGCACTTATTGTGCACTTATGTTTATTGACAGTGCTTTTAATATCTCTTGTCTTTGGATAACTTAAGCATTTTATGGCACTAAAGCTTTACAGTTCAGGTAATTTCAGTATACTTTCTGTGCTGCTTAGTTGTTTAATCCACAATAAAGAACCGTATTATGAGGTCATCATATGTTTACATGTTTGAAAACTATTTCCAACAAGTGAAACTATCCTGATGTCGGAAAACAGTTGTGTTTTCAGCTTCTCCTGTCTAATTCAACAAGGCTTTAAATGGAATAAGAAGTAAGCAAATGTTCCCAAACCAATCCAAAAATTAATTACACCATTTGGAGATCAATGGATTGAAAGTGTATGGGAACTTGTAACTGAATAAAACCTAAATCATCAAATAAAGTACACAAGTTTAAATTTGGACTGAAATAGTGTACTTGAGTAATTGTGCTTAGTTCTCTTCCCCCAGTGCAGACGACAAGAGAGATGTGTTCAACAAAAACAGGTTCTGTTGTGTGCTTTATTAAATTGCTAAAGAGGAGCATGTGCAAATTCCACAGCCTGAGGTTTGTGCACAAATCTCTTGCTGTTTTCAGCCCGTCAGCCGAGGAAGACAGCTTATCAAAAATGCATGATGTCAAGATGGTGGGTGGACATGTCAGCGACTGTCACTGTGGACCATTTACTAGCTGTAGAAGCTGAAACATGTGACATGACTCTGTACACAAGCTGTTTCCTGGAACGCTGTTGTAGTGGACATTTAGCGGGGCTTTGATTACTGAACCAGTAGCTCTTAAAAGCTTTCTTTGCACAGTTACACTCAGTACAACCTGAAACATAAAAGAATAGAACAGCGTGTTGGGACACTGTTGTTGTTTCCTCTGGACTTTCCTTAATTTCTTTTCCATGAAGTTCCGTACAGTTACTGCAGTGAATGCCTTTGGACACTGACTCGAATAAAGGGTAGGGGTCCATTACTGTTCACACAACACTCTCCATTGTTCTAGCCTGGAGTAATCTGCCATGGGGCATTGTGGGAAAAGGAGGAGATGTGTCAGATTTCTCTGGAGAGGATGGAGCGCTTTGCTGTTTCCTGTTTTGTGCTGTATGGTGGTGAAAGCTCTTCCTGTTCAGGGGAAGAGGGTGACAGGTCATCGAATGCACCCAGTACACAGTAGCTTCTTCTGACGTGGAGCGAATAAAAAACCTCGAAGCACTGCATACAGGGTTTCCTGCAATAGAGTGCGCTTTGTCTTCTCCAGGTATTTGAGGCCGAGGCATGCCGGTTCCCCCACCTCCCCCTCCGCCTCCACCAGCAGCCCCGCCACCCCCACCGCCACCCAGTGCTGCCCTGCCACAGGTATAAGATTCTTCCAGCAACTCTCTTATGCAATTGTAAACACTCATTGTGTTCTTCTTGCTGCTCATCGACCATCTGGAGCTCATTTGCATTATTAATTGAGCTAGTGTACACACACTCACTGACTTAGACACACACAACCCAGACAGCAGACTGTCAGTGGCAAAAGAGTGTTATGTTACCCCAGCAGGCTCATAGTGTCCTCTTGTTAAATGAGCTGCTGCAGCCAGCGAACAGGGCAAAGACATGGCTCAGTAGATTCTGGATACAGCAGTAACGTCTGTCTGCATAAACAAAAAAGTGATCCTCTCCACTCTTACTTCTTTTTTGTTCTGTTTTTCTTCAGTGTCCATTAGATCCTCCCAAGGTCCAGTTTAGCGGAGGAGGAGGTGGTGGAAGGAATGCCCTGCTGGCAGACATCCAGAAAGGAACCAAGCTCAAGAAAGTCACGCAGGTCAACGACCGCAGTGCCCCCGTCGTCAATAGTAGGTCCCACAACATGACCATCCTATAGCCTGCACATATACAGACACACTCAGTGTGTTTTCTCTACATGTTACATCCTTACATCACAGTAGCGAACACTCATCCACTCTCATAGGTGAATGGGTGCTTCATATAGTGTGTGTCTGTAGTTTGAAATATGCCAGTGTGATGTGTTATTGTGAAACACTCGACATATTAAAGTGAAGGACAAAGAAGGGGAGAAGACTGGGGGATGTTTGGTGTCTTTGTGCTATATTTGAACTCACAACTCACGCTTCAGGAAGGAATGCCCTATAGCTGATTAAGACGCAGGAAGAACAGACAGACGGTACTATATACACTGACACAATAGAAAAGGCAAAACACTGTGCACTGTCACCACTCAACACACCCTGTGCAATATCACTAAAGACTGTGAAACAGATATGCGTGTGTGCTGTGTGCAGTGTTGGTCAAGTTACTTGAAAAAAGTAATCAGTAACTAATTACTTTATGTGTATAGATGAAGACAAGATCCTTAGGACCCTCTGAAATTTTTATTTTCCAAGTCCTTTTAAATAGAGCAAGGGATTTTTAACATAGCTTTTCTAAACATTGTAGTTTTATTTTGGATGCTTATCTTATTTGACTTTACACAAAAAATAGTTTTACAAAAAGAAAAACTACCAGGGTCTTCAGTTCAACCCACATATTATCAGTAGATTTCAAGTCAGTCAGTAATGTTGACTTTGGTCTTCTGGAGGTTCTTCCAGGTTTGCTACTGACTGCTTTTCTACAAGATCTTCACATATTCTTATTTCTTCATGATTCCTTCCACCTTGGCGAGATTCCTAGATGCACTGAAGGGTCCCGACAACATAATACTCACACCGCAGTGTTTCACAACCCAAAGAACCTTGTACGTCTCTCCCTTCTTTCTCCAAACTTAAGCAGAGTAAGCAGAGCTCTGGTTTAATCTCATCTGACTAAAGGACATGTTTCCAGTTTACAAAATCTTTCTCCAGGTTGTACTTGGCCTACTCCAGTCTGGCCTGAAGGTGTTTCTTTTGCAAAAGTTGAGTTTTTCTTGTTCTGTAACCTCAGACTCCATTCCTGTGCAGGGTTCTAGTGATTATCCTCCTTGAGACAGTCTGACAGTTTCTGACTACAGTCATTCATCAGTGTCAGATTCTTTGAGATCTTTTGCTTCTTACCTCTGCCAGGCTTGTTCTGTACTCTGCGGCTCTCTTTGAAGTTTTTAATGGGCAGCAATTCTTTCTTAAGTCTAAACTGATTTGTTTTTGATTTTGGCATGATGCTTTAATCAAGTGACAGCTCAGCCCCTTACTAAAGCTTCCAATTTATGTACATTATGTAAATTAGGAGGCGACCGTGGCTCAGGGGGTTGGGAAGGTCGCCGGTTCGATCCCCGGGCTCTCTGTCCTGGTCGTTGTGTCCTTGGGCAAGACACTT